CGAACTAACTGATTACTGCAAGCCAAACACACTATCGCGTTGTGACTGGGTTTGTTTACCAAATAGAGTTCCAACGGCTGTTGCTAAAATTAAATTCTTGTAGAGCTAAAAGTAATTAGATTTCATTTTGGTGCTGCGCATGTAGGCTTTAAACGGAAAAAAAAAATCGGCACCTATTAATTAAAACCAAAGAAGTATTTCACATCGAACTCATCATGCAATGCTCCTCTCCACAAACGTGAAAATTATATTTTTATTACCTACACATAAAAAGGATTCCACGATTCAGTGTTGATAGGATATGCAATAAAACGACAAAAAATGTAACTAACTTTAAGAGACTTTTTTAATATTGCAGAAACTGGGAAATAGTGCCGAAAAATACGGCCTACTTGATGACACAATTGATGTTTAGATGTCTATTGAATAAAAGAGCAAGAAATCGTAATACAAAAATTAAACAGTAAAACTGAGAAAACACTTATCTAATGGTTATAACAAGATAGATAATGTTAATGAAATTTGAAAATGCTTTACAACAAGAAATGCGCACTAAAGCCACATATGTAAGTCGATAAAAAAAGCAACTAAAGAAAATGTTTTACATAACGTTTCCTTTTTTTAACCTCTGTGCTATAGTGTCCTTCGTTTTCCTCGGTGCTTGGTGTTAATTTTTCCTTTCACTTGTTCCCATTGTTCTTTAAAGACTGGCGAATCAAACTTCTGCTGCAGAGTTGACATAATCAGGTGCATTTTATAGCAGTCTAGCTGTTGAAAGCCTCTTACTTCTCTCCTGTGTTGCCTTTAGCTAGTTCTGCCTCGCTGAACGGAATGTTGGCGCAGGCAAAAGCATACGTTGTCCACTGAAAGAAAGCTTTGGCTCTGGAAAATTTGGTTCAATGGATTGCAGTGGAGCTCATGGGACAGGCTGGGACACATACGCTTACTGTGACTGGAAGGTGGCTGGATACGATGACACTCGCTGGTTAGCCTGAAAAGTGATGGGAGTAGCTGAAGGGCTGGCAAGGGTTGCGGCAAATCTTGTGATGCATTTTCATGAACAAACTCACTGGAGCTTTCTTCCTCAGTTCCAAGGGTATTCATTAGGGCATCACTGACAATACCTCCAAAGGACTCATCGTCGCTAAACTCATGATTCAACGAGATAATTGTGATTCACGAGCAAACAATGTGACATGTGAATGTCTTCTTTCTTATAATTTTTAAATTAATTATGCAAGCACTATTTGTTGGTGATTCTTACTTCTTTAAAAGAACCCAAAACAATGTGGAAAGGCGCGAAACTAACAAAGTGATATTGAGGCTACAGGTTTTAACAACTCTACTCCGCTCACTGTGAAAATTAACTTCGGGAACTTATTGCAATATCATTATCTACATGGGAGTGTTTAAACCAAACACTGTGTTCAATGAAGGGCTTTCAAAAAGGGTGGTTCTTTGTATTGTATTTGGTGGCTCCTAAAAGAGCCGTGTTATATTCAAGTGACTGAAGTCACTTTTCACTGCTGTCGTGGGGTTTGTTGTGGTAGCCCTTTGAGGTACAATAGTTTCCTATAATCAAGGTCGTAGTTAAACCATTGATGTCTTTTACTGTCAACGTTGTTGTTGAAAAATTGTATTTGGCACTCTCTTTTCTGGACTGTAGCTTGTGATGAGGCCCAAGACTGAGCGAGAACAATCAATCTACTGATGATTTCAGGATTGCACCCGTTGCCTTGGAAAAACAGCGGAAGTTTGAATGTCTCCTTGTAACCCATTGGCTTCTTCTAGAATATTAAGCGAGTATCCTTAGGCCATGATAATCTAAGTGCCTTTAATGAGATGCATATTCACCAATAGAACCATTGGAATGATATTTTCTATTGGTACCAATCGTACCATTGGTACCAATGGACTGTCTGAACTACCCTGTACCCTGCCAGGCCACGTGAGAAAATTTTCTAAGTGACCTTAATGAGATGCATTTTCACCAATAGAACCATTGGAATGGCATCCTTTTCTATTGGTACCAATCGCACCATTAGTACCAAAGGACCATCGGAATTACCCAGTACCCAGTTAGATCACGTGGAAAATAATCTTAATCCCCTTAATGGGATGCATATTCACCAATAGAACCATTTGAATGATGTGCTTTTCTGTTGGTACCAATTGCATCATTGGTACCAAAGGACCATTGAAATTGCCCTGTACCCAGCTAGATCATATGGAAAATAATCTACAATCACGGATAAAAGTAGTTGGGAAGGTGGGATAAGTTAGCAACATTATTGCTCCATTTCATACGCCTTATGTCTATGTTAAAAAAAGATTATGGGTTCTTCTCCTGAATACCCCCCGCGCCCCCTATTCAATGTTGGGACATGTAACAACAATTACGCACAAAAACAATTTAGTTTTGTCCAACATTGATCCAGGGGCGGGGGGGACAAGTACAAAAAAGGTAAAAATTGGTAACCTTCCCAACATTTTTGACGATGATTGTGTGAGAATAGACAATTGTCTTTTAACGCTTGTAAAACTTGTGGCTTTTAACATTTCGCGGAGATTTCTCACCCTGGAAATCTATTGATAATGTACTTTACAATGGGTATATAAAATGGAATAAAGCTTTAGTTTCGTTCAAATCACCATCATGAGATCCTTGTATCTCGCATGCGTGACATGTCAAAGCGTGACCACAAAATCCACTAGCATGTGTAGATTGTTTTTTAAGAACGTCGGAAAAAATCCTTTATGTTCCTTACTTTCCGGCGATAGGTTAAATGAAGTTTCCTTGTTTGGAGAAAGTGGAAAGAATCGCCATAGCTTGTCTGTTTCATTACATAAAATTAGAAGACGTGAGAGCAATTAGTACTAAATGTCACACGTTTGTTGTTATGCATTTTTGCCTCTGTTCAGTTACACAGTTTCACTTTGTGTCATTTCAGTGAGTGCGATGATTTTAAAGACGAAACAAAGAGAAACAACTTGAAAAACAACTACAGTTAGCAGGAGGCTTAGGGACAATAAACGTTTTCGAGAAACACCAGAAAATTCTAGTTGCACACGTATGCGTGAAACCTGTGGGCCGAGAGGGGTGTGACATGAGTGCGGAATTTTCTAGACTGTATTCTCTTAGGCTCCGAATTCCCAAAACCTATATATAACAAGCTGTTGATTTTCCAATACAGAAATAAATAATTTCAATCTATTGATTACACCATGGTATTCAGAGGAAAAATACCTCCAGAGAAAAGAGCGTTAGCAATATTTTTACGCCAAGAATCTGGCCTGAGTTATCCGAAAATTGCTGAGAAATGTAACATTTCAACCTCCTCCGCCGAAAGAATTTGCAATGAGAATCTTTTTCAAAGACAAAACTCGGGCCACTCAAGGAAACGCGGTCGACGAAGAAAGATTTCACTCCGTATGAAGCGGTTATTGAAAAGAAACCTCTTGAAAATGAGGAGACAAGGTGTAGCCGTAACTGTGAAGAGACTTGTCACTTATAGTGGACTAAGCCTTCAAACCGCAAGTATTCGCACGTATTCCAGATGCTTAAATGAGATGGGTTTCTGGTTCTTACAAGCTAGAAAAAAGGGTCTTCTGAAAGAAAGTGACAAAAAAGACCGGCTTCAGTATGCAAGGAAAATGGCACGCTACGAACGAGATTTGCCAGGTTTTTGGACTGACGAAGTAGCTTTTTATTTAGATGGTGTGTCTTTCGTATACAAGACCAATCCCATGAGCACAGCAATGGCTCCAAAGGCAAGAGTATGGCGTCAAAAAAGCGAAGGCTTGCAAGTAACCAGCAAAGGCTCGAAAGATTTAGCGGGAGGAAAAAGGCTGCACGTAATGGTTGCAATAGCTTACGGAAAAGGAGTTATTCTGAAAGAGCCCTATGAGAAATTGAATGGCCAGTTCTTTGCTAATTTCATTAGGCAACATTTTAATTTATGTTTCGGACGTGCAGGGCCAAAACGAGATGGAAAACGTCTATTTGTTATGGATAACGATCCAAGTCAGGTGTCCAAATTAGCTATGAGTGCTCTAAGAGAAATTGAATGCCAACTTTCGAAGATACCTTCTCGCTCGCCAGACCTGAACCCATGTGAATCTATTTTTCATATTGTCAAAGATTCATTAGACGAAGAAGCGATTGAAAAACACATCAACAAAGAATCATTTGGCGACTTCAAAAACAGAGTGTTGCGCACATTTAGCGAGATGGATCCTGTTGTCATTGATAAAACCATAGAAAGTATGTCCAATAGAGTTCTATCAATTATTGAAGGAAAGGGTTGTCGAACCAAGTATTAAACAAACGTAAACAAGGTATTTTAATGGTAACATACTTCAGTTTTTACACTATATTATGTTTACATGTACTGACGATGTCATAAAGGGAATAATATAATAAATTGGAGCTTCCACAATTTACAGTGTGGTTATCTTTTCACGCTAATGGCGTCACCTGTCAATCATTAAGCTATTTTGAGAACAGTAAACCACAACGATTTTCACAATACTCCACCACATTACTCCATAAGAAAGTCCCAAATACATCACCAATGAACCAACATTCTTGCGAACAAAGTACAAAAATATGTAAACCGTATTAGAATATGTTCCATTTTTCCTTCAGTTTTCCACAGAAATAAATGTAACTAGTGATTTTCAACATTACTCCATTGAAACAGTGTCTAATAAAGGTCAATTAGTTAGGTCAAGTTTAATTTAAACGCTAGCTGCGGAGTAATGTGGTACTTTCCTTACCAAAACGCTAAAATGGCCCTTAAAAAGCATAGCACTAACTCCATTCAAAGTCCTGCACAATTCAATATAACTTTTTTCTCTTTGGAGCTACTATAAACGAAATAATTTCGGCTACTTAAATGGAGTAATGTGGCCTCTCATGTCTGCGCCTTTTGACTCATTGTGTAATCAGATTAGCGAAGACAATAGACGCGCGCTACTCTAAGTTATTTTAAAAGACTCTACTCAGTGATGTTGTCTAAAATGAGTTTCGAAAAGCAGTGACCACAAGGAATTAACTGGAGTTGTTCAGCTGGTGGAATTTGTCTCCAGAAGTGGAAAAATCTCCACCTTACGTTCATCATTTCAGTGTTTGCGTGGCAAACACTTCCCCCCTGTATGTAAACAATTGGCGCGTCTGATGTTGCGAAGATAGGGGTATCGTTGCTAAGCTCAATGTCCCGTTTCGAGAAATTTTTGGGAGCTGGTAAATGCACTATATCTCCCTCTAGCAACAGGAGCATGTCAGCCCACGCTATTATGGAGGGTTTCCACCGAAAATCATTCAACATAATAATTTCCGCCTCTTCTGCACCAACCCAGGCAAAAGTTCCAGTGGCGGGATTACAAAAAGTGCCATAAATGCTTTTCAATGGGGCGAGCACGAAACTTTTCCCGCAATTGGCAACTCCATGTATAAACAGGTTTCTGTACTTTCCTCTTCCTTTTTCCAGCAACATCAACACAGCTTGGGCGAAAACACTGACGCTGATTTCATTTCTATTGAGGAGGTTAACTGCCGCCTCTAGCCACTTCCCCTCACAGCTCGCAACGCATTCGGCAGAGTAGCTTTCGTGTAGAAGTTGCATGCGAGTCTTCTGTGACCTTTCATACTTCGCTTCCGCAGTTGCCAACTCCTGCGCGATAGCCAGACACTCATCTACTGCTTTTCCGCCCCTGTTACATATAAATTCCGCCAGCTCTGTCTTGCCTTCCCGATTTTGTGAAGCTGCTATAGACAGAAGCTGTAGCCGTGATTTTACGTTCTTAGCCTGGATAAACTGGGCAACCTCGTACACTGAAAGACCACGCTTTCGTTTCGTTTTCTTACCCCCAGTACGGCCAACTGCTTTTCTCTTGTTTCCTGAGATTGCCTTCTCAGTTCTCGGTGGACGCGCATTGCTTAGGTCTGGGTGACCCTCTGAGTGAACACAGAAGTCATCTTCCTTTGTGGTGTATTTGTACGCAGAGTAGTATGTGTTGTGTACGGCGCTAAAGTTCACCCTTATGCCGTAGCGGTCGTCTAAGAATTGGCGTACCTTCAGCCAGCGAGCACGTTTTTCCAGTTTCATTGCCATGTGATAATGGGAATTGCTCTCTGAAACACCTGCATCAGCGTGTAATTCTCGCGCAACAACCCACTGCACAACCTTAACACCCGTCATTTCCATCCACCCTAGTGAGACCTTTTCGGCAAATGCTTCTCTTGTCGCAACTTTTTCTACATCGGCTCTGCTATATGTCACAAGATACACAAGTCGCTGCTCACGGTTTCGCAAAGTATCATTTACCTCTGCCATTTTCGGGGTTGTTATCGTTGTCCGTAGACCTTTCAAACAGGCCAAAACAAATTATCTTTCGCATTACAAAACAATTTCGACTCCTCCCCTTCGCATAAATGACAACAGAACTTTAAACACGTGAAATACTTTACAGATATCACTCATTGAAGCTGTCCCGACAAAAACATAATCATAACAATGCATGCCCTTATGTTCCAAAAAATAATAATCATAACCTAATTGTATTAGCCATTTTATTTCGCCTGAAATGATAAAAACAACGCACAGTAACTCTTACTTTTCACGAGAGTACCAATTCTGTGTCTTTTTTAAAGACGTGCTTTACTATAGAAAGTCGTCGACTTTTGTTTCTTCATGACCACACCCAGAATTTCAAGACAATCACGGACAAAAGTAGTTGGGAAGGTGGAATAAGTTAGCAACATTATTGCTCCATTTCATACGCCTTATGTCTATGTTAAAAAAAGATTATTTGTTCTTCTCCTGAATACCCCCCGCGCCCCCTATTCAATGTTGGGACATGTAACAACAATTACGCACAAAAACAATTTAGTTTTGTCCAACATTGATCCAGGGGCGGGGGGGACAAGTACAAAAAAGGTAAAAATTGGTAACCTTCCCAACATTTTTGACGATGATTGTAGGTCCCCTCAATGAGATGCGTATTCACCAACAGAACCATTGGAATGATGTGCTTTTCTATTGGTACCAATCCTACAATGGACCATTGTAATTACCTTGTAGCCAGCTAGATCACATGAGAAAATAATCTAAGTGCCCTAAATGAGATGCATATTCACCAATAGAACCATTGGGATGGCGTGCTTTTCTATTGGTACCAATCGCACCATTGGTACCAATGGACCATTGGAATTGCCCTGTACCCAGCTAGATCACATGGAAAATAATCTGTGCCCTTAATGAGATGCATATTTAGTAATAGAACCATTGGAATGATGTGCTTTTCTATTGGTACCGATTGTACCATTGGTACCAATGGACACCTTTCTTATCACCACTAATATGCCTCATGCCATCTCATACCCAAAAGATTGTAGTCTTGTGGACACACAGGAATATTCTGAAAAGCATTTTTTATGTCTGTCTTTGCCAAAAGACATCCTGGACCAAAGGTCTTTATATGGTGAATAGCATCCTGAGTAGTGGCATAACATACACTTCTATGGTCAGAGGAGATGCTATCATTCACAGAAAAACCTTTGGGGTTAGATAGATTGTGTGTAAGACGGAAAATCTCCAAGAGTCTTCTTTGGCACAACTCCTTGGGGAGAAATGCGGAAAGGGTGAAAGGGATGAGCAGTGAAAGGACCAGGCAAACGGCCGGCATCAAGTTCCTTTTTTATTTTGATATCCATAACATCAGGATTTTCCAAGGCCAAAATTAAATTTTTGGCATCTGATGACTCACGTAAACTATCGTAGTGTACAGCAAAACCTTCGCTAAAACCTACCAGAAAGAAGGAATACCAACCTTTCCGCATTTATGGGTGTTGGCAAGTTAAGGCTTTGAGGGTTGGGACTTGGCAGGAAGGATTGTTTCCCAGTGTTTTTGCTTTGGGAATGAAAATTACATTGACTGCTTTTTGAGGGCCTTCGAATTTGTAACATAAATGCTTAAAAGCACAACCAGGGACACACTGGACACCTCTATGAAATTTGAAACAAAAACCTTTCGGGATACCTTGCTCATGAGATCTTAGACACCCTGGAAGTGTTTGCGGCTTACCCGCAGTAGAATGTTGAGTGCGCATCCACAGCTCCCAGTGGATGTTACATCAACAAAAGGAGGAGGGCTGCGCTTGTCTCAAAAGACAAAAATTTTCATCGTAAAAGCACCAGGTAAAACCACTTGCTGCCAAATCCTGGATCACCCCACAATACTTCATGAGAGCCGGCGCGTCATGAGGGTGTCGTCTAGTGTGTATTGCAATAAAAATATGGAAGCAACTTAACCAGGTTTCAATGGTAAAAATTTTCCTTTGTTTGACTATGGGCTCCAGATATAAAGAGGGCAACTGCTCAGCAGTTGTCCTAGCTAAAGTAACTTGGTATCGACTTTCATGCACTGTATTAGTCAGTAGGGCTCTCAACTCAAAATACTCATTGTTCCATATCTTGGCCTTAAGCTTGTCAGATACTCTGGAATCTATTGGAGGGCTGGGCGATGAGAACAATTGAGAGGGGACTGCAGTATTTATAGGATGCATCCCACCTGACAAGGAGGGCTGAGCAGCATCTAAAGGTCCTTGCACAATGGTAGCAACCAGACCCCCACTGGAAACAGCATTGAGTACTGGAGCGTCTGTGGGTGCTCCAACGGGTACCTCGAGCAAACTTGAGGTGGAAGGTGTGGCCAAGGCAAGTGAGGGACCATGACCGGAGAAGGGGGCAGCATCGCTTATGCCTGGTGGCAAGGAAGACCCACTGTGGCTAACCTCGGGGAGAAAGACGTTGGGTCACCTCCTGTACAATCCAAGACACCAATTGGTCCATGAGGTCAGGCGGTAATGGTGAGGACCTGGGCTGTTGATCTGTCCACTGCTCAACACTAGTAGCCAAAGCAGGACGGGATGAATCTCTTGACTTCTGACGAGTGGGCTCGGTTGCTGCAGCCACAGTAAGGGACTTGTCAGAAATTAGCAGGGGGGGAGGGGGGGTGGAAACAGAGGGAGGGTCACAACTTTTTGAGACTCAGAAAAGGGAGGGGTCATGAAAAATGGGCCGTTAAAAGGGGGAGGGTCATGCAAATATAGCCCGTGATCATGTAGAGGTTCACCTGCATAATAAAAAGGAAGTTCTTTATTTGGTAAAAAAAAAAAGGAAAATAATAATAAAGAACAACAGAACATTATGGATATAAACTGTGAAGTACTATTGCAAGAATTTAACAAACATCTACTTTTCATTGATTAAACGGCAATGTTATAGAGTCTTATTGCATTTTTATTATGAATAATGTTGTTATTAATGTTAATAGAGTTTTGGCTATCCTATTCATCAGTGTCTTCAGCGTCACCATCAATGCTGCTGTGAGCATCTTGATCATCATCATTTATGTCATCAGCATTGATATAATCACTTTCACCATCATGATACAATCACTTTCATCATCATCATGATTTTCATTTAAGTTGAAGCTTGGATATTGCTGGATAATTTCCTGTTCTTCATTGGTAAACAACCCTTCTCAAAGATGTATTGGGTATATGGCCTTTGTGTTTTGAGGAGCCCACTTATTCCTTGATAATGAAGAGATAATGGGCCAATAGGCTCTGTAACAAAACATTCAATGGTGATCGACCGAATATATGGGTTAAAAGTGGAATAATACCCCTACCAAAGAAAGGTGACTTGGGTGACACAGGAAACTATCGTGGTATATCCCTAACTGTCACAGCTGCGAAAATCTATAACAAGATTCTATTAGATCGAATAAGACCTCATCTGGATCCTCTGCTCAGGGTGAACCAAAATGGATTTCGTACGGGTAGATCTACACTACCGCAAATTTTAACTCTGCGTAGGCTCATAGAGGGAATAAAAGAAAAACAGCTTCCTGCAATATTGACTTTCGTAGACTTCAGTAAAGCCTTTGATTCGATACATCGTGGGAAATTGATGGAGATCTTGAAGGCATATGGAATTCCAACAAAGATAGTGGATGCCATCAGCATACTCTACAAGGACACCGAAGCACAGGTGATAACTCCTGATGGTGATACGGAATTCTTTGAAATTCTTGCGGGAGTTCTGCAAGGAGACACACTCGCACCTTTCCTATTTATCATAGCCTTGGATTATGCCCTTAGAGAAGCTACTAGAGAAACACACACTGGGTTCACTCTTACACCACGGCAGAGCTCCCGTCATGTAGCAACATACATCACCGACACTGATTTCGCGGATGATCTTGCCCTAATTTCTGACTATCTTGAAGAGGCACAACTTCTCTTATTAAGACTGGAGGTTGCTGCGAAAACAGTGGGTCTGCATGTTAACTACAAGAAAACGGAATACATGCTGTACAATCAACCTGTAGGTGATCTTGTCACACTGGCAGGGAACAAATTGAAGCAAGTAGATAACTTCAAATACCTTGGTTCGTGGATACAATCCGGTGAAAAGGACATGAATATAAGAATTGGACACGCTTGGAGTGCACTCAACAAAATGATGAAAGTGTGGAAATCAAACCTAAAAAATCATCTCAAAATAGGTTTCTTTCGGGCCACAGTTGAAAGTGTACTGCTTTATGGTGCTGAATGCTGGACGATGACTGGAAAGATGATGAATAGACTAGATGGTACGTACACAAGAATGCTCAGAGCAGTTCTTGGAGTTTCCTGGAAGGAGCATAAAACCAACAAAGAACTGTACGGCAATCTTCCTAAGATTACAGATACACTGATGATCAGGAGGCTGCGGTTTATAGGACACTGTTGGAGAAAAAAGGATGAGGTGATAAGTGATTTACTACTCTGGGAACCAAAGCACGGCGCAAGAAAGAGAGGAAGACCAGCATTAACATACGTAGACCAGCTGCAAAATGATACTGGTTTGAGCATAGCTGAACTGAAGAACATCATGGAAAACCGGAAGGAATGGATGAAGCTAGTTAATGGAGTTCGAGTTCGCTCGAAATAAGCAAGCAAGCAAGGCTCTGTAACATTATGCCACTCTTGCTGAGGTGCAATGGTTTTTTGCAGCTAACTTCCATTCTTGTTGCTCTAGCTTTTTTTTGCTTTCCTTTTATTTTGTTTTTGTTTCCTTTTTTCTTGTTGGCTTGGAATACTGCACCTTAAAAAGCCTGGAACATTTTTCTTTCAATTCTGTAAGGTGGGGAGGGTCATGATATTTTAGGCCAAACATAAGGGGAGGGTTAGCATATTTCACTCCCATTGAAGGGATGGGTCACCTAATTTCCAAACCCAAATTTAAAATTCCCACCCCCCCTCCCCCCCTGCTAATTTCTGACA